TGGGGGTCTTGGCTGGTCAAACCTGATGTATCTTAATCTGGAACAAATCCATAGCCTCTGGCTTTCTGTGGAAACAAAAGCAGAGCCTCCTTTCCAAAGCAACACATTCTTACATCCTAATTTTGAAGTCAAGGTACCTTTAAAATATACATTTTGGGGTAACTCAACAGCTTTTGTAATCAAATGTTTTTCTTCAGTTAAAAATCCCAAAGACAACACAATCCAGATTCTCTGTGTAATATTCATCTTGTCTCTTTTAAGCCTACGTATATTTTACACACATTGTAAGCTATTACATCTGAATCTGTCTTATTGTGAATCTATTGCTTTAAACTGCAGTATTTGTAAGCCTGAAACAGCGCTGTGGCTTCTGGCTCCGCCCACTTAAGCTTCCCAACATGGTGGTGGTACGTTTCCCAACAGCTCTGGGAGCCATCCTGGGTCTATGCTTTTACCCAAGCAGTGTGTAGCCCAGAAACCTCTTTTTTTTTTTTTTTAACACTAGCAAAGGCTAAATCCACCACACAGCAGCAGCGTAATATGCTGCTTGTAGAAGCCTCATTCCCGCCATACTGCAGGTCAAGCGCAAATGCCAGGAACCTGCCAGTAGCACAAACCCACGTTTTGCGGTGTCTACCTGCCCGTATGAGAAATGAAGCAGGAACCTGGTTTTGGCTCTGTTTAGAATTGCTTATTAAATATTCTCAGGTTTAAGGTGGAAACTTGAGCCGTTGGGTGCCATTTGTAGCTAGAGTTTTCCTGCCTGGCCCACAGTCAGGACAAATCTCTATCACCCGCCAATCCTACAGCCGCTCAGACCCAACCAAGTAAACACAGAGACTTATATTGGATTTATATTGCTTACAAACTGTATGGCCGTGGCAGGCTTCTTGCTAACTGTTCTTATATCTTAAATTAATCCATTTCTATAAATCTATACCTTACCATGTGGCTCATGGCATACCAGCATCTTCACATGCTGCTTGTCATGGCGGCGGCAGCTGGCAGTGTCTCTCACTCATCCTTCCACTTCCCCGAATTCTCCTCTCTCCTTGTCCAACCTATACTCTCCCCTTGAGCCCTCCTTGTTACTTAACTTCTCTGGGTCTGCAGATTGTACCTTAGTTATCCTTTACTTTACAGCTAATATTCACTTATGAATGAGTACATATCATGTTTGTCTTTCTGAGCGTAGGTTACCTCACTTAGGATGATGTCTTCTAGTCCATCCATTTGTCTGCAAATTTCATGATGTCATTGTTTTTAACAGTTGAGTAATACTCCATTGTATACACATGCCACATTTTCTTTATCTATTTTTTGGTTGAGGGATATCTAGGTAGTTTCTAGTTTCTGGCTACTACAAATAAACTACTATGAACACAGTTGAGCAAATGTCCTTGTGGTATGGTAGAGTGTGCTTTGGGCATATGCCCAGGAGTGGTATAGCTGGGTCTTGAGGTATATCAATTCCCTGTTTTGTGAGAAACTGCCACATTGATTTCCAAAGTGGCTGTACAAGTCTGGACTCCCACCAACAATGGAGTGTTGTTCCCCTTACTCCACAGCCTCTCCAACATGAGCTGTCACTTGTGTTTTGATCTTAGTCATTCTGACAGGTGTACCATGGAATCTCAGAGTCATTTTGATTTACATTTCCTTGAAGGCTAAGGATGTGGAACAATTCTTTATTTGAGATTCCTTTGTTGAAAATTCTCTATTTAGATCTGTACCTCACTTTTAATTGGGTTATTTGGTCTGATGTCTAGTTTCTTGAGTTTGGTTTTGGTGGTGGTAGTAGGTGTGTGTGTGTGTGTGTTTCCCTTCTTTGGCGTTTGCTGGTGTGTGATTATCTATTGCATGTGTTTTTGTGGATGTATTTAACTTTATTTTGTAGGAGTTTTCCTTCAAGTACCTTATATAAGGATTGATTTGTGGACAGATACTGTTTAAATCTGACTTTATCATGGAATATCTTGTTTATTCCATCTATGGTGATTGAGAGTTTTGCTGGGTATAGTAGTCTGGGTTGGCATCTGTGCTCTCTTAGAGTTTGCAAGACATCTGTCCAGGCACTTTTGGCTTTTAGAATCTCCATTGAGAAGTAGGGTATAATTCTGATAGGTCTGCCTTTATATGTTACTTGGTCTTTTTCCTTTGTAGCTTTTCATATTCTTTCTTTATTCTATGTGTTTAGTGTTTTGATTATTATATGATGTGGTTAACTTTCTTTTTTGATCCAATCTATTTGGTGTTCTGTACACTTTTTGTACGTTTGTAGGCATTTCCTTCTTTAGGTTAGGAAAATTTTCTTCTATGATTTTATTAAACATATTTTCTGGGTTTTTGAGCTGAGATTCTTCACCTTCTATTCCTATTATTCTTATGTTTGGTCTTTTCATAGTGTCCCAGATTCCCTGTATATGTTGTTATGAGGTTTTTAGATTTAGCATTTTCTTTGACTGATGAATCTGTTTCTTCTGTCATATCTTCAATGCCTGAGAGTCTCTCTTCCATCTTTTGTATTCTATTGGTGATGCTTGTGTCTATAGTTTCTGTTTGCTTACTTAGATTTTCCATTTCCAGAATTCCCTCAGTTTGTGTTTTCTTTATTGCTTCTATTTTGATTTACAAGTCTTGATTAGTTTCCTTCACCACTTTGTTTTTTCTTTGTATTTGTTAATGGATTTATTGATTTCCTCAAATTTTTTTGATTGTCTTCCTCAATTTCTTTAAGGGAGTTTTAAACTTCCTCTTTAAGGTCCTCTAGCATCTTCACAAAGTTGGTTTTAAGGTCGTTTTCTTGGGTTTCTGCTGCATTAATGTATTCAAATCTTAATGTCAGAATAGCTGGGCTCGGGTGGTGCCATATTGGCCAGGCTGTTATTGGTTGTATTCTTATACTGGTGTTTAGGCATCTGGGTTTGGGATGTCTAGGTTCTAATTTCTGAGTTGGCCTTTGTTGGACAGATGTACTGTTCCTTGGTTTCTGTTTCTTCTTTGGCCTTCTCGTCTTTGCGGCCTGAATTTCTGACAGCTGGTGTGACCTCTGATCTATTAGGGTGTCTCTGTCCAGATTGGGAACTGGCCTTCTGGCCGTTAGCTTGGCATTTGTTACAGTAGGGGGTTCTCTGTTCTTCTGACTGGTGTAGCCTGCACCTGTTCCTCTGACTGGCTGGTGTGGCCTGCACCTGAACAGGTGAAGTCAGCTGGAGTTGGGGTAAGGGCTGGCCACAAGGATGATGATGAAGTGGGAGGAATAGGTCTGTGGGATGAGTCATGGGGAACAGAATGTTGGAAGTGGGGCAGTTCAGTTGACAGGCAGCTCCCTCACCTGTTCTTCTGACTGATGTGGCCTGCACCTTAGCAGTGGCAGTTAGCCAGGATGAGGGCAGGACCCAGCAGTGGTGGGGTTGAGGAATTAGTGGGGCAAGAGCTGTGGAATGGGTCTTGGAGAACAGAATTTGGGGAGTGGGGCAGTTTGGCTGGAAGGGAGGGTCGTACACCCATTCTTCTGACTGGTGTGGCTTGCACCTGAGCTATAGGAGTCCTCTGAGGTGGGGGCAGGGCTCAGCAGTGGTGGAGGTGGTGAGGCTGGAGGGTAAGCGTTGTGGGATGGGTCTTGTGGACCAGAATCTAGGTAATGGGCAAACTCGACTGGCAAGTGGGTCACTCACCTCTTTTTCTGATGGGTGTGGCCTGTATCTCAACTTAGTATGTTTTTAAAATAGAGCCCAAGTAAGGTTCCTTTAAAAATAGTGTATTATAAGCTTGTTTTTCATACAGGTTGAGAATTGTCTGTGCTGGTAAATGTTTATGAGACACAGAAAAATGCATCTTTATATAGTGTCCAATTTATTATAGCAGACAGAACGAGCCTCTCGATGCAAGAAGAGGAGTTTGAAATCCCTGGCAGTCATTTTTGTCCTTTTATACTACCCTTCTGCAGCACCGTTTACAGTCCTAACTAACAGTTTCAGTATTTCGGAAGGCATCAAATTGTTGATAATGGCTCAACAACTTTGAGCATTAGTTATACTTGCAGAAGATCTGAATTCAGTGTCCAGAGCCTCCATGGCAGCTCGTCAGTTCCAGGGGATCCAGCACCCTCTTCTGCCCTCCACAAGCACTAGGCATGCACATAATACACATATGTACATGAGACAGAACTCTCACACATAAAAAACTAGATCTAAAAGAACACGTTTCAGTATATTTCAGCAAAATCATGTTTAGAGAAACTGTTGATTGTTTATTCTTGCTCAAATGTAGACACTAATTTACTACATCACAAGAATAGCATAAATAATTTTTTGCTGTTTTTTTTTTTTTTTAATACAAGGCTTCTTTGTGTAGCCCTGGCTGCCCTGGAACTAGCTCTGTAAACCAGGCTAGCCTTGAACTCACAGAGATCCACTTACCTCTGCTTCCCAAGTGCTGGGATTAAGGGCATGTGCCACCATTGCCCAGTGAGAAATAATATTAACATGTAACTTGATAGTTCTATAATCTGACACATATAATTTGGTACTCTTTACTATCTGAATTTCGCTACTTAAATCTCATGAAAAATTTCTGACATTATGTACTATGTCTTCAACTGTCGACATTGTGGAAAGTTATATATGAAGATTAAAAGCTTTTAAAACTAATATAAAAATTGTCTTTCCTAATTTTAATAGTGTTCTTTTTTTTTATCATATTCATGTGTTTATCTGGGTATGCTAAGGATACATTCGCTGTGAAATCCTTATTTTTTTTCTGTGGATGATGTTTCTCAGTCCTGTACTGGGATTCTTTCTGCTGCAAGATGTGCTGTTCTGGTTGTCCTGATTTGCTGCTTCAGTGTTTCTAAAAATGTTAGGGTGTCTATGGGTTTCATAGGATGTAATTTAAAAAGCGGTATCGCTTGTTACTTAAAATAGTCTGAAGTGTGTTGTTAGGTCCAGTGTTTCTTGTTTATACTCTATAATCAACACAACATTCTTTTCTCTTTTTAGAGCAATGAAGTTGTCTACTACAATGCTAAGGATGATCTTGATGTGAGTATTAAAATTTTTTACATTAAATTATTACTTAGCTGAAACTGGATTTGACACATTTAAAGAGAATGTTAGATGGCAAAAGGAAAACATTAGTTAGATGTGGTGAGGCGATGATGGGTGTTTTGCTTATCTAATGTGTACTGACTGCTTACTGGCCTTTCTGTATTAGCAATGGCTTTCTAGTTGTCTGTTTCTGAACCAGCACACCTGTGTGTTCCTCAGTGTGCTGCAGTAGCTTAGATATGTGTGCTACCTTTGCAAGGTTGAGCACATGATATAAAATATATATATTGTACTGATCCATTACAACTGCCAGAATGGACAACTCTACTAATGTCTTCAAATAACAGATTTAACTGAGTACTAAAATTTCTGATATCCTATTAACCATCTTTCACAAATTATCTTAATTTGTACAATAACACTGTGAAAAACACATTTTTTTCTTTCATAGATGAAAACCTAAGTGGTTTTTTTCTTTCTTTTTATTTTCTGTGTAAGAGTGTTTTGCCTGTATGTGTGTATGCCTGTATGTGTGTGCTCCATATGTGTGCCTAGTTCCCACAGAAGTCTGAATATGGAATATGATCCCCTGGAACTAGAGGTACAAATGTTTGTGAGTTGTCGTGTGGGTGCTTAGAACAAAACCCAGGTCCTCTCCAAGTGTTTCCAGCTGCTGGGCCTTCTCCCCATCTCCACACTAAGCTTCTTTATAAAGATCTAATCTTTTCTCTAACATACATGGTTTGCTTGTGATGTCTTTCCTATTCTAAAGAGAGTGCATGTGATCTTAATGATGCAGAATGGGTATTAAGGACAGTCTGTCAATAAATAAAAATGTTTTTCACAGTTTATTGAGCGGTATCAGAATAAGAGTTAGAATTATGTAATACAAATTTTAAAAGGTTTTATTAATAAAAAAAACCTCAGTGCCAGCTATTGGGGTAAAAACTGAGAGATCAGAGAAACAGAACAAGCCACAGCCAACCTCACCTGGCCAACTCCTCAGCTGATCTTGTTTCCTCTGAGTCCTCACTGGAATGGATCTCAGCTGAACTGCTGCTCAAAAGCCTAAGAGCTTAAAAAGCCTCTAGTTCCTGGTCCTCACACCTTATATACCTTTCTGCTTCCTGCCATCACTTCCTGAAATTAAAGGTGTGTGTCACTGTGCCTGACGCTGTTTCCAGTGTGGCCTTGAACTCACAGAGATCCAGAGGGATCTCTGCCTCGGGAATGCTAGGATTAAGGGTGTGTGCTACCACTGTCTAAATTCTATGTTTAATATAGTGGCTGTTCTGTTCTCTGACCCCAGATAAGTTTATTGGGGTGCACAATATGTCAATCACAGAATTAGAATTAGTATTTGTTATTTGAAAATAATTTGGCTACGGATTTGAGGAAGCGCTAGGTAGGTTCATGGTAGGCTTTGGAGATGAAAGTGAAGGGTAAGACACTGTAATTATAATCTCAAAGACTGAAAAAATATACAAATTCATCATCAATTTTCTTGATAGTATACTAATTGTATCTATTAATAAACATTTAATTCATGAAACACTGACACTGATTTTATAACTTTTATCTCCTAGAGCGTTACTTTGTGAAGATGTCACTAAATATAGCAAATAAATATTTGGTTCTAACACTTATACAAGCAATTACATTTTCTGTCAAGCAAAGCAGTTTTGCTTAGTTATATTTACTTGTTAGTCACAGATTTTCTTTTGTCTTACATGGAAATGAAGCACACAGTCAGAAGTGTGAAACTGAGTTTTAGTGAGTACTGACCCGTTTTCCATCACAGTACTTCAAGGGTAAACTGTTCGCCAGTCACGAGTGGAGAAATAGGCATGAGTTTTGAATGTAGAATACTGAAAGCACAGCCAATGCTTTCTTCATAAGTGACATGCCGAGCCGGTCTCTCAAATATTGAAAAAATACATTTGATGTTATTTATTTCTCCTGTTTCAGTATTGAAAAAACCCTCTGTAATAGAGAAACGAATCCATGGAAGCGGAGTTACTGACAGATCTGTATTTTCTGCTGCTTCATCACAACCAAAATAAGCGAATCATAATGTTATGTATAGGAAGACTTTTCTTTCCTGCCCACCAGTTCCCAAATAACTGACACGGAGACTCAATATTAATTTTAAGTGATCAGCTGATCACTTAGGCTTCTCTTTAACTAGCTCTTATAACTTAAATTAATCCATTTCTTTTAATCTGTGTATTGTCACTTGGCTTTACCTGCTCTCCATCATGTCTTGCTCCCTCTTTGTCTCCTGGTGATTCCCTGACTCTGCCCTCCTTCTTCCCAGCATCCTCCTAGTCTGGCTCTCCCGCCTAATCTCTTTCTGCCCAGCTGTAGGACAGTCAACTCTTTATTAACCAAGGCGAGTAATACATGTTCACAGTGTACAGAAGGATTATTCCACAGCAATTATGTGTTTTAATTATTCCTATAAAATGGTGCATTGCTAAGACGGACTTCAGCAAATTTAATTAAAAGTTTAGGGATATCAAAAAATCAATATTTAAGTTTAAAATTCAGAAACTACTATTAAGTATTTGGAGAGATATTATCTCTTTCTTTATGTACACATTGGCAGAGAATGTTATATAGTATAAAGAAAATAATAGGATTCAGAAACCAGGTCCTGCTCAGACAAGCCTTGAAATTCTAGTTACCCAGAGGTTATTGCATCCTGTTAAAGTTCCAGAGCTTTGGCTGGGAAGCTGAGTCAATGACTGAAGTGCTTGCACACACACTTGCAAATACATGTAATTAAAAATAAAACAAACAAAAAATTAGAGAAGTGTGTGAAAAATTCTACTAAGTATTTGAGAAAATATTTTCATTGCACCTAAATGTTTATGTAATCAAAACTGATGCTGTACATCTAATTCCTACTCAAAACAATAATATAATTAGTCAAAATTATAATTTGGAGGAGTTGTTGCAAAGACATTAAGTTACTTACAGAAGGATTTTGAGAAATAATATACCAAAGTGAGTTCCAGGAAAGGCGCAAAGCTACACAGAGAAACCCTGTCTCGAAAAACCAAAAAAAAAAAAAAAAAGAGAAATAATATAGCTGATACAATTTTGTGTTAAATTTTAACTTTAATTGAACCATCAATGATCCTTCTATATAACCAGGTATAGTTGATTTGAAATATTTCATGTAATTTTTTTTTAGAATTTATGAGGAATTATGACAAGATAATTAAATACCTGAAAAGTATTTTGATTATTCTCTTTCTGGATACCAGGGATAGTGTGGGAACTCGTAGTTACTCTTTAGACTCTCCAGGATCATATTTTGCTGTTAGTTCTTCATGGTCTCAATCTCAGTCTCTCTTGCTCAGTCTCTCTTGCTCTGTCTCTCTGTCTCTCTGTCTCTGTCTCTCTGTCTCTCTGTCTCTCTCTCTCCACAGAAAGCAGGTGGTGGCATTAGAGGAAATCCCTTTCCCCTACAGAGCCTGTTATGAAGGTTGCACTTATCACTTCTTTGTTCATTCATTGTTTGCAGCCTATAATAAAGTGCACAGCTTCATAGCGAGGGGACGCAGAACTTAACTTTTTCCCCTCAGATGGGCATATCTCAAGAAAATATCAAAGTTGTCTATTTAAGCAAAACAAAGGAGAGCAGTAATTAGGAGACAGTAGTTTCTCTACATGTCTCCAGTTGCTTTTCTCAGTGTATTAAAGTTGGTGGCAACATTCCACCTGCTTATCTTTTATAATTTAAATGTAGTTGAATATTTAACCTGGATGAAAAAAATCGCTTTTTACAAGAAATGGATATGACATTATCTATTCTCGCTGGGTGGTGGTAGCACGTGCCTTTAATCTCAGCCCTTAGGAAGCAGAGGCAGGCGGATCTCTGTGAGTTTGAAGCTAGCCTGGTCTACAGAGAGAGTTCCAGGACATCCAGGGATACACAGAGAAACCCTGTCTCTAAAACCCAATGATAATAATAATAATAATAATAATAATAATAATAATAATAATAATAAAAATAAATCTATCATCTAATCCTTTACAATTCATGTGTTTTGATTTCTATTACTAAATTGGTTTCTACAATTGACACAATTTTTCAGAAAAGATAATAAATGTTGGTAAATACTACACTTTCGTAATCTATTTTAGGATTTTAAAGCGTTGCATTGTTTTATTTTGCCCCATAGACTTTTATTTGTCTAACGAAGTTGGACTTATATAGACGATATATTTTATTCACTTTCACAAAATGTTTTGCAGCATAGGTGATTTAATGGGCTGCTCCATTCATGATTACATATGTATGATTTGATATATATGTATAAAATGCTCACAAATCATAATGGCCACACATTGTTTTAGTATGTATTTGGCTCGCCATTACTGTTCTCTGTCTAAGATGTCAGACTGTCATTTTATGAATCACTGTCTCACATCAGTAGAACTAATTAGGATGCTAAGTTAAGAAACTGCTATCAAAATCTCTGCCCCTCTGTAGAACTCAAGATTCAAAGGTTGGGGTGGAATTCTGCTCCTCAGGGACGCTGAATAGCAATTCACTTACCCCCTCTTCTTGTTCACATCTCCCCAAAAGCCCCTGTCCTTTTCTCAGCCCATGCTTAAAAGCCCTTCTCTCCTCCCTATTACTTTCTGTCAGCTAGTTGCAGACTCAGCCTCCTGACTATAAGTGAATTTTATTTAATCAAACAAATGTAACACATCTTTACATCATTAAACAAACATTCCAGAGCAAAAACAAAAGTAACACACATTAAAATAATATTCTACAGCAGAGGAAACTTTTCTATAGGCCCAAGATGTTATCTGATGATATTCTTAGCTCTTGGATTGGTGGAAGCTAGTGTTCAGTGTTAACAGCTTCTGTGAGTTTTCTGTTGGTGGTGGTTTGGTTTTTGTTTTGTTCTGTTTATTGTTGTTTTAATATCACAAGGTGTTAGTTCAGATACGAATGGGGCAGAGAATGGCTG